AGCTCGGCCCCGATGGGTCGCGGCACACCACCTTCTTCTCCTAACTGTGGTAGTGCGGCTTTTTCGATTCTGCATGTTGGAAAATATGGCAGGACCTTCTTTACCATATCAGGTGTCGCAACCTTGCTGGCAATAAACTGGATTCCGGCATGGTTTGTGGCGCGCCATTTCCCTCTTATGGTGTAGAACTGGTATTGCATATCCACTGACCGCACATATATGGCTAACTGACCGTCTGTGAAAGATGATTCTCTGGTTTCTGTGAGCGACATCGGTGATAGGCATCTTGTTAACGAAAACTTACAGTTTCAGTACGACCAAGTCTCCCGGTTGAAGAAATCGCGAGCCCGCATCCTCCTGAATGGGGTGGCGGTACTCATCGGCGTCAAAAAAATCAACAATCTCCTCCTGGTACTGTAAACCGTCCTTCAACATATCTCCCTTCCGTGATTTTCCCGTATTGACGTCATCTGGTACCCGGATCGGGTCCATCGCATTGATCAAAGGTCTGTTCTTCTGTTGCCATTTGCGAAGATAATCATATATATCGCCATTTCCCTGTAGTTCTGCTTGTGACAGTTCAGTTTTGAGCAGTGTATCCCAGTTAGGTCTTGACGTGTAGTCAGAGAGCTTTGAGAACATTAGCGATCCTTCTTAAAGCCGAGATGAGGGATGATACGAACACCACATACAAGCTTAGTGTTGTGAAAGCCCCGATACTGCGAGCGCTGTACATTCTGTAAGTAGTATGATCGCTCAGAAAGGCAATTCGAAGAGGAGGTCACTCCTAGAGCGTTTGAATGAAACTTTCGCTGCCATCCGTTAACACACCGTAGGCATACAAGACTCCAAAATTTTGGTCCATTGTGCGCGGCAGGTCGAGAATTTCTGAGCCACAAGGAAGAAGAGAGCATCCTCGAAAGGTAGATAAAACGAGGGTGATGCTGGACTGCAATACGGCGACCTCTGGATGGTTGATAAGAATTCCTTGCGCTGTCGTCGTCTTGTCTTCCTCGTCACAATCTCCAAATTCTTGTGATCGGGACCTTTTTTTACTTTGTGAATTTAACTAGTTACCAATGAGCAAGACTAACCTAACCGAATATGATAGATGTCTTGGCATGTATTCAATTCTCTCCTGCATTTGCTCTATACAAATTCATATTTGAATCTCCGTCGAGGATTCAAAGGATTATCAAAAATACTTACTTTTCCTTGCGGCGAAATGAAAACAGTAGTTAATTGAAAATGTACTGGCCTTGTACGGAGTACCGTGTTGGGAGTTCGTTAGATTTCTCTCTCTTACTTAATGATGGTGCGTACAACAATTTCTGATTCGCAATATTTATTGGCACGATGCCCTTCTATGGTAGTGGACATATTTTCAATAACTCAAGATGCACGAGCATATCTATTGGATGCATTTGGGGTAACAGCCAGTATCTATACGCGGATTATGACTATATTACTCTGTGGTTGATGCTTCGTCACTTTCAGTCCAAGGAGCTCGAGCGACTCCAACCAAGCTTCACAATGGCTGACACGCGAGGTGATCAGTGAGGGGGGAAAGGAATTCAATGGAGATAACTCTAAACATCAAAATTGTGGAGAAAAGACCCGTTCTGACCATAAAAATGTCCGACATGACTCCTCAGAATGACAATGGACGGCACATTGAGACTGGCCAACTTACCTTCCGGCATACAGGATGAATATCTATCTCATTGCGCCTCGCAAAACTCTCCCTCAACGGTCAGACGGAACCGAAGGTTTCGTTATCCAAGCCAATTTCATCACTGGCTGTCTCTTGTTTAATCCCGTTGGTCGACACATACAATTGGATATGATTGGGCTAAGCTATTTGTCGATCTATTCGCAATAGCTTGCAAATACGAGACTGCACAGTCAGTTCACGATTGTCGAACTCATCTAGACAACAATCAGCCAGTTGTGGGTATGAGATGCCTGAAAACTTTGTGCGAATCACTGTTAATGAGCAAAGAACTGTATTAAAAGTCTGATGTTTACCTACCAACCTGGCAAGTTGCCATGAACGGTTTCAAGCGAACAACGACCTGAAAGAAATGCTGAAATTTGAAGACAAGCCAATCCACACAACTCTACGTTATAGCTCCAACAAAAACAACTACATCATTCTACATGCATAGAAGTCGACATATTTTCACCCAAAGAGGAGAGGACGGGAAAGTTCCAGGTCCAAACTACAGTTCGAAAATAGCTCACCTGGGATCTGGCACTTCTTAGTCAATGACAGTGGAGGGCGCATAGAGAAACATTCAAGCAGATCAACCATGTCGTCGGTGCTTCAAAACATCATTTTTCATTGTGGTTGTGTGGCAGTCAATGCATCGCCAGTGGAAACGATTGGGTCCCGAAGCGCTGTGGTGGGGTCTCTATGAGGTTCGAAACTTGAAATCAGACGGGAGCCAATTCTTCATTGATTCCAGTGGCAGTCGTTCAACGGGCGGCTCCACAGGCTTCAGGCTGTTAGGCTGTTAGGGCCAGCCCCGCCATATTCCGTTCGTTTGGCCCTAGAATTGGGCCACCCGCCTTGGCACTTGACCCACCCTCTATTTTTGACGAGCTCCTGGCGCTGGATGTAGGGCATCCACAAGGCACCTAACCGTTTGGCTCTGGGCCCGCTAGGACCCTGGCATTCTCTGAATCTGTTCTTAGGCTTACTGATTGGCTGCAGAGCGGCGCATCCTTAGATCGAGCTCAAACAAGCTTCATCTGAGATATCGTTCTGATTGCTCGAAGTTCAGCAGCTCCTCTGCTTTCTGATAACTTCTTGCTGGGATTTTGAGGACTGCTGATGTGGATAGAGAGCTCTAAGAAAAGAAAGAGCCGTCCAGACAATGTGATCGGCGTCGTGATGTTTCTCAACAGGTCGGCGGACTGTTGTATATAAATCAGACAAGATCACCTCCATCTCTCCGGTATTTCCCATTCTTTCTGTATTCATCAAGACTCATTCAACGTTGCAAAGGTTTCCTTTCCTTTCTTTCTTTTAATTTTTCCTTTCTCTTTCACGAATTTCTTAATCTGTAGTCTTTCAGGTTTCGCTTCAGTATTTTGCCTCCATCTCAGTTGTCATTTGAAGCAACATTAATAATTTCCTTCGATTTCAATTGTCCCTTTTGTTTGCCTAAACCTCCTACCTGCAGGCTCTGGAAAGCTATAGTTTCTATCTATTGTCGTTCATAAATCCTCTTTCTGCTTCTTTTGTCTTTCCACTGTTTCTCAATAGAATAAAGCTCCCATCACATAGTGTCTTCTCCTTATATCCTCCGGATCCAGACAGCCTTCAACAGCTTCCATCAGTCGGCTTCGCAAAACTCCACGATCTTTATATCTTCAACTAGTCGACCTTTCCTTTAATCCTATTCCGTGTAACCGAACCATTTCCTACCACAGTCAATATGGGTTCCTCTCACAATGGCGCCCTTGGGGTTACCTTCAAGGTTGTTCGAATTCTTCAAGTGGTCTGCTTGATTTCAATTATCGGTATGACCGCCAACTTCATCTCCGACATGGTCAAGAGCCACGTTTCTCCACCCGAAGTGATTGTTGGCACTATCAGCGTGGTGAGTGGTCGAAAAGACATCTATAACATGGAGATGGTGAGGAGGTAAAATGTTTCAAACGCAAGGGCTAACAACTCAACTTATATAATTCAGACATGCATTGCTACCCTTTTTTGCGTAGTTACCTTCATTCTCTACCTGGATGGGATCCTTCCCTTCCTCGTTTCCGCGGGCATGGACAGTCTTCATCTGATCGCGGTGATTGTGATCGCAGTTGTTGTCGGGAAGCCGCTGTCATATCTCGATTGCAAGTTGATAGGCAAAGTTTCTCAGTCATCCGGATTTGCTTTCACTTCCGCCTTGATGGAAAATTTGGACGAGGATGGTAGTAAGCTGGGCTATGCCCATTGGGTCGGAGCATCCAAGGCATATTGTTTTGAGATGAAGTCTATATGGGGCCTTAGCATTGCTCTATGGTGAGTTTGCTCCCCCTCCCCACCTGGCTTGTCTGGAACGCCAAAGTTTTCATTCAGTCTTTGCTTTGTTTGCAACACGAGCTGACTTCTCTTGTTAGCATCTTATTTGCATTATCCGCAACCTGTACTTTGTTTTTGTGGCGCCAGTCTCAGGAGAATGTGCCGAAGGATATCGAGAATTAAAATCTTGAATTAAATATGCGACTGCACCGCAAGCACCAATCTTGAATGATGTGAAGTCCACTAATGGCATCCAATGCGACGGTTCGATTGGTGAACAGTAATCAATATACCTGCAGAATCGTCGGGACACAGAAATCAAAGAGGACGATCATAGGCAGAATTTTGGGTCAGGGTTTAAGAAACTTACTTGGAGGGTATGTCTGCGCAGGAAGTAATGATATTTTCTTTTATGTAATGGCAGGAGTCGCACAAAGTTTTGTTTAATTTTATTTATTTATTATTATTTATTTTGTGTTTTACAAGAGAAACTAGTAAATCGTTTAACTGGATGAAGTGTGTACCTATGTAAAGATGTAAATAGTTAATATCCAATCACACAAATTTCTGGTATCTGCTAAACTAGTTAGTTAATAAACTTGGTACCAAGAAGTCACTGGGATGCGACTTGGAAAATTTGGGCTGACAAGGTTTAAGTAATATTTTAGTTAACTGAATATACCAACAACTAGTCGACTTGAAGTATCCCTTGATGAAATCGCCGAAGCATCTACTTAAATACCTGAGATAACGTCCAAACCCCACTTTGTCTTGTAGTTAAAGCATTAGTTACCATGACTCCTACATCTCCTCTTAATCTGCCTATTTTGTTCAATCGAATAACCACTGATGGATAGTTGGCCTTCCCGAAGCAATTAAAAGCTGAAAATCTAAAGAAACATAAAAAATTGTCAGATAATTTCTTAAAATTTATTATCAAATTAGTTATCTCAGATCCCCCAAATCCGCATATGAAATGTCATCAGCATCTCGTTCTCTCCCGGACACAGTCAAAATCATAGTTATGGGACAATGCCACTTCAGGAGTGAGATATTCAGTAACCAGGTATTCATAGCGGGGCTTATGTCCCACATTTCTAGCCATCATCATTTAATCATGCGGTTTCAGCAAAGGATATCATCGCTAAAGTTTTTCTTTGCCAGTATCTCCTCCAATACTGGGATGACACATACGACCCCACTACGTCTGGGACCTATTGCAAGCAAACTGTTGTAGACGGTAAGGTCGTTTTGGTAGACGTTCTAAACCTCTCCCTTGGAATCTGCTCTCGAAAAGATGAATTTGGGCCCGTGATACATCAATATGCCAAGAGCAGCGACGGTTTCATCTTTTTGTACGACGTCACCTCACGCGAGGGATTGAGTTGTATCCTGGAAATCCATGAGGCTTTCCTTCGTCACACGCGCAGCGCATCAACATTCGATTGCTGCCTAGGACCACCTTTGCCTCTATATGTGCAGTCAACCAAACGGCTCTACCAGCTTGAAAGTTCGAAAACATTGAAGCAATTCACTTGTTTCCCGCGGCTACCGCATGAGCTGCAACTTGCTGTCCTTCGCGCGGCCCTTGTATCTTCTGATCCCGTGGTTCTCCCCACACCGCACATCAATGGGATCAATATAAATATCCTGAAAGTATGCAAGCTCTTCCATGAAGAAGGCACGCGAATCTTCTGGAAGGAAAACATTTTTACATTCTGGAAGCCATTCTGTATCGTCGCTGAGACAGCGTTTGTAACGCCTGCCAAATCACGGGCTGTTACTACTGAGGAAGGGCAAGAACTTGCGTACCGTCTCGGGTGTAACTTTGTGGAATTGTCATCTAAATCCTATGGTGACGTTGAGAATGTCTTTACAGGTCTTATTCGCAAGCACAGATCACGAATCGCGGAGGTATCTCGTCCATCCGGTTACATGCCACGAGGTCAAAATCTGGTCCGCATTGCTCATGTCAGGGCTCTAATAAGAGCTATTCGCTCGCTGGTGAGGACTTTTAAGCAGCGGACATCTCGCATTTTTACTTGATTGATTGAGCAGATTTTTCGTCTTGGGAAACCTTAGTTGATGACAATGGGTGCTGAGAGGCAGTTGTATCTAAATGGAGAATTGTCTTCAAAGATAGAACTAGGAGATATTTGAACGTCGGAATGAATGCACTTAGGTGTCGAATGCAATTTGGAAACCATCAAAGGAGTTAGGAGTTGGAAAGACCTCTCTAGCTGATGGGCATGAGTTTCAACGTCATGGAAGCTTCCAGTGTATGGTGATCATATGTGAACCAACAGATGATAACTGGTTGCCAAATATGCTAGTATGCTGGTATAACTTTGTCATGTGATGACTATTTGGGCTCCCAGCTACTTAAAGGAAAAAAATCAAGAAACCACCAGAACAACGCGAAAACAAAACATAAAATGGGGAGGTTCTACAATCCCAGTACTCCTGAGTCTCGCAGATACCATCTGTTTAAATTTTCTACGCATCAAGTACGTGCCTCAATAGTTTATTCTCCCTCATCATATTCTCCAGTTCACCCGAGGTTTTCAACATGGCTTCGTGCAGTTGTAAAGCAGCACCCCTCTTAAAATCTAAACTCCCTGCTGCCATCATCTCAGAGAGTATGTAAGATTTCAGCTCGTCTGAAAGCTCAATTCTGCTTCCACGATGAGACATCAGCCCTTTGATACGATCGGCCGCAATGCTATTCTGCAGAGCATGGATTAGAATTATCGATAACTTCCCTTCCGAAAGGTAATCGCAGAAACATTTTGTGGTCATGTACTGCATGGTAAAGTGTTATTAATATATGGTTAATCCTAGAGGGCGTTCTGTTGGATGAGAACGGAGAAATTGAAGCAGAAAGTGAAATTGAGACGTAAAGGGAAAGGTTGAAACTACTTCGTTCAGATGTCAAATTCTGATAGTCATTCCATATTTGATAATATGTCGTCCAAGTAAGTTGATGTAGCGGGACGATTTGCTGTCTGGATTCGGGAACATTAATCTCAAAACAAGTTAAAAGAAACTCCCGGACCTATTATCAACCATGACAAAATAGTTATTGATAAATGGGCACAGCTTGTGAAATCTCAGTGAAGTTCTATTGAATTAACTAGCCCGGGGGCTTTCAACTCATCTATGATAAAGGCCGTATTACTTTGTGGCATAATTAATTGAATATGACCTAGCTCCAAATTCACGTACCGATCAAAACCTCTCGACATGCATCAGTGTATTTCAATCGTGATATTAACTCAAATATTTTAACCCAGACATAAGTTGCCAAATTCACTGTCTGATTGGTGCCATACAAGATGATGCAGCGGGCATTCCTTGTCGCGTCCATGAGTCGTCCTGAACGCCACATATCCCAAGTTCGTTGACGCACGTTAGCATGATACCGAATATTTGAACAAGGGAGAGTATGCTACTCACATTAATAAGTTGTGATAAACCATCGTAGTCGCAGTTTCAATGACCTGTAGCGATTCTTCAGATATTCCAGGGATCCAAATCCGTAGCCTTTCAACGATCTTGGACAAATTTCCCTTGCTCGAACAGGACATAATATACTCAAATGCAGCCATGCATAGCTGCTCATTGTTACTGGATATTCTTCATAAGCGGGTGCGAATCGAACCCTAACCCTATGAATCGAACGTGAGTCTTGGAATCCAGAGACGCTGTCAGTAGAGAGAGGTTCTCTCGTCTGAGCCTTCGTAAAGGCATTGCATCTGAATGCACACATGCAAATTCAGCACGAGGCATGTCGTTCTGGATGCCCTTTTTTTTCAAAATTTTTGTTTTTGTTTTGTTTTGTTTTGGTTTTTTTTTTTTTTTTTTTTTTTTTTTTTGGTGGGGGGGTGGGGGGTAAAGAGTTGAAAGATGTTTAAAGTTTTGGGTTAATTAACTGTTGACTAAATAACCCGTGGTTTAGCGTTTGGATCAGGACACCAAAGTCGTGCTTGTAGGGGCTATCGCAGGTGGACGCCTGCCTCTGGTTTTCGCTATTATTTAGCCCAGAAGCGGTTCTATCAATCTCCTCTACTGCGTAAGATGACTGGGTAGAGAAACATCAGTTCAAACATCAACCTCTATCCAAAGTTCGATGTACACATTTTGCGTTTATGATTGGATGACTATTTTCACTTTAAACCACGTCTCCTATTTAACTACTGCTAAAGACAAAAGCTAATATGAAAATCCAAGAATTTTGTCCCTCACAGCTTTGGAATTCTTGCACATCAACCAAACTATATACATGTATCTTTCAGAAAAGAAAAGTGTCTACCATCACCAAATCCATAATCATATACATTGATACAAGACAAAAAATAATATATATAGCATTTAGGGGGGAAATCTCCTCACTCAGCAGCCGCAAGCGCTCTCCCAGCCTTAATCAGACCCCATAGGGGCAACCCGACACTCCACGCCCACACTCCAGTTCGCAAATAACTGACGGCCTCCGACTTGACACCCATATATAAGGCAGTGTAGATGACGCGTGCGCCGATGTATTCAGCCGCAATTGTATTCAGGTCGCTGGCTGGGAGTTTCGCGACATTTCCTGCGATCTACACGATGGGGAGAACGATCCTTATTAGCTGGACTCAAAAGTCTTTGTCTGGCTCGTTCTAGACTAAATTGATTGGGATATTTGGCCTTTGGGAAATGAATGAAGGCCTATCGCACATGTGCAGACATAAATCATGCATGCTAATACGGCATCTGTGTGTGTGTTGGAGGGGGCGGGGGTGAGGGGCATCATACCATTGCAGCTGCAAACAAGGGAAGGCCTTCCATAGCATTAAGATGCGCACCTTGTGCACGACAAAGCTTACTCCATGTCTCTGTTGGGATGCGTCCTTTGAGTGAGGAAAAGTGGTCTCGGGGGCTGGGATGGGAAAAGGAGTTATTGTTAGCTAGCGCCTATGGTGTATAACTGGGCCCGGTTATACATAGATAAGATGGAGGGGCCTGAGGCATTTCATCTTCCGTTCCTCTTCGATAAACGATAACGGAGAAACATACAGTATATTGGATAACTTTCCTATTGAGGCGAGTTTAAGGACGTAGTATCCGTGGGGAACAAGACCGACCATGAAAGCTCCCGCGATGGAGTGAATGGACCAGTTGTCTGTGGAATGCATAATTGCTTTTAAAAGCGAGATGAATGTCTTGTTGATGGGTTTGGTAGATTGTGGTTATTTAGTAAATATCTGCGGAGGTGATAAACAAAATGGCTTCAATGAACTTGGAATTCACTTTGAGACAAATATTCTCTATCCATCGACAGTTCAAGTGAGGCTTTATATAGATCTTCCGATATTGTTATGCATTCGTCGTTCTCATACACAACCTTGAGGATAACGTTATGGTCGTTTGGGCACCGTCACCCAACCATGAATATCTATCCATATTGTCATTAATATCTTCGTATTCCCCCAAAACAACATAGTGAAATGCAGATTTGCACTTGCTCAGCCCCTCTTAATTCCCACTTTTGAAACGTTGATATCAATTCATTGGAAGGGTGGGATCTAAACTGTATTGTTAAGCGTTTTTGAGTCGAGGACCTGTGTAGTTCCTCTGCATTCTCCTAAATCAATTAGGGCCATTAGGCTGTTAGTGTTGGTACGAGACCTGATTAACTAATCGTTTCCTTCGCATCGGGCCTAAGAATTCCGGAAAATGGCAGATTTAATCCGTGCGTCTTACGGACAGATCACAATTCAGACCACCAGCTCCAAAACACGAACTTGAAGGGGCCACAGTCCACTTCGTTCATGGTGTTCGCGGATGGATTTTCCTGAGCTTCAAAAACGGGGCTAGCTAACTACCAAAGCACCTATTAAATCTACACTATGGGGGCTTGAGCCTTGGACATGTTGCATAACGTCATTGCAGAGGTAGGATGCAAGTCAATTAACACAACGGCATTCATCAACGGACACGTTTTCGTGGCCCTGGCGCCTGTTCCTGGATGTTTCGAGTGAATTTTGTCTTTCCATCGCAAGGACGTTCCTTGCTCACCAAGATTGGCTCGAATGTCTTAATCAGACCATCAGGACGAACCTATTTCGTCATGTTACCTGGTAGATGTGCCATGATCCTAGGTGGAATATTCATCATGGGTAACATCGAGAGTTTCTTACACATCGCCAGAAAGTTCATTGGCAAGAGATGCGCGGCTATACCTGACACTATGATTCAATTTATGAGGCTCCTCCCGAGCTTGTTGTTCGGGTCTAGATCTACAACAATTGCGTGTGCAAACTCTCTGTTCAATTTAGTTGTCGGGCGACAACATCTGCTGTATATTGATAATGAATATGAAGTGTTGAGAACCTCCCTGCTCTGGGCTGATGGAAGAGGGAAATGAGAGAATAAAAAAGTTCGTGCTTCGAATATTAACTATCGAAGCAATTGATGATGCCGACTACATATTGTCCCTATTCACGGTCTATGTCAACTTATCCATTTCGGCTAGGAAATAAGACCTGGCCGCTCCAGAATGCTCCTACAACATTAAGCAATTTAATACCTGGCATGCTAATTTGCCGGATATTAATTGGGCCAATGAAGCAGAGGATTCGGACGAAAACTATAGACAACTGGATTTATTATGTTGATCAGCAGCCACCAAAGAACATATATACATGCCAAGGGATGAACACGGTTTTCTCTGGTCTCCCGCCTGCTGCGCAAGTTGTGAAGCTCGGCCCCCGTTCCCTCCCTCGATTAGAACTGATAAATAGTTATCCATTGAGCAGAAGAACCAAGCACTAGTCGAGCTTGGCTGTTCAGGTTCACTCTCTGTTCTTGATTCGGCTACTGCTAGCCGTTTGTGTCTTGGATTTACACTTTTCGGATTTTTCTTATCACAACCTCCAGGAAATATGCAGCAGGCCGAAACAATCTCGTTAAGAGGATTAAGAAGAATCAGTTAATTCATTGCAGTTTGGACAACGCATTGATGAAGAGAACAAGTTGCATTAAAATGAGAACGTCGATATTCAATACCCGCAGTAACGTAAACACAGGAACGTACGTCATTGCTAGTGTTAATATCCGCAAGCTACGTCCTAACTCCACTTTCATCTCATTCCTTCTCTCAATCAACGCGGAGGATTGGACTCTTCACATTTCCCCCCATTTCCATTCCTCTACATTTATAACCACACACGGGAAAGTTTCTGCAAGCCTTGCAAGCTGAGGTTCTGTTAACTGTTAAGATATTGGGTAAATAAAATCAGCAGCATTGTCACGATTTGCTGGAGGGAGTTCACGCTGAATAATCTGACAATTGCCGTTTGCTAAGATGAAATGGAAGGTGTGATGCCATTATTGCGTTTTAAGGATGTGGATGGGGTAGCCTTGGTTTGACCACGGTAGCCCGTCTGGCATATGGATGGATATGGGCCCCCATGAGGTCAGCATCTTAGCTTAAGCTAAGCCATCTTATCTTTTCTTTTATCCTTGTATAATATGCAATGCTTAAGTCTGAACGGTGCACAACTGTGTGCTGTCAGGTTATGAGACACATATGTCAAGATGGCTAGTCCAGACTGCGAGCGATAATATATGAAACTGAAAAAAGCTAATGAAGCCAATTATAGTTTCATTAAGGAGCTTCACTTTTTTTTCTGCCACTGGATCCATCCGTAGATCCAGCCATGCTTTAAAAACTCCCTTTTGGACTGGAAAATTGGGGCAAAACAGGAATTGATGGAAAGAATCGAAGGCCTCGAAAAAGATATTGATGAGAAGAAAGTGCTTCTGGAAAAACAGGAAGATATGGCAAATATGTATCATCAACGTTCAAGGGAGGCGAAGTTAGAGCTGATGAAGACGCCACAAAATATGGTTAGTCTCTTGATATTTTCTCCAAATGGTTGATAATTCACAATTTAACTCGATATTCAATTGGGGCTAACTGTACGGGAATTGGGGTGATACCTAGGAACGTAATGCGTTTGTGTCCGTTTTGGTTGATGGGGACCCTATGAATTTATAAATTCCTCTCTCCATTCCCTTCTGAGACGCCGTCAATTACTAATACGGGATGCTAAACCATAGTTTTTGGACAAGTTTGTAATTGATGGCAAGTCAAGGGTCAAGAAGTTGCCCGACTCCTCATCCACCATGTTCAAGAGTATATGCAGAACGAATTGATGGATCTGATCCGTGTCTATGCAAATGTGAAAGGTCTGAGGAGAACATACCAAGAGGCTCAAATACTGGACGATGAAGAAGAATTTGAGCTGTTTGTTCATGGGTTCAACATCGGCCATCCCATGTGTGATTTCGTGGACGCGGGCGCTGGGAAGGAATGCTCCGACGAGAAAATTCGAGTCAAGTTCACACCACTATTATATATCTTCCAAGGATCCCACAGCCATTAAGTTGAAAAAAGGAGCTCACCGGTTAATCACCATTCGTAGAAACTTTCAAGTTGCATGCCGGAAATGTCCATCGTAAACACATTACATTTGCCAGCTCCACCAATAGTGGGTATGCACGTCTTCTTGGGCCATACAGCAGTACGGAAGTGTGCAACCGTGTGACAATGCTTGAGGGACCTCCATTTGAAAGGGAGCTGGCAGAGCTGAAGGATAAATACCGCACCACCTCGTTCCCAACGGTATTCCGAGAAACCAAGCTGCCTCCAACACGATGTGTTTTATTTTTGCCACATCTATCTATTTATTAAGCCTTAAACTACTAAGTCATGCATTTGCTGTATTTTTAACAGTTCGCCGCCCACGTATAACGGATATGCCTACCAACCCCCGCACCATCTGATAAAGCCCCGGCTCACCCAATAACGCGGACTCATCGACCTTGTTTAATAGTAATGGCAGCGTGAACTCCGGCATCATGCTGCTGCGAAATAAAAAGGGACAGCGTGTGGATTCTCCCATCAAACCCTCACCAAGCATCGTTCAAAGCCTGAAATCACGAAAGCTTTGCAACCCATACCACATTTTGGGCACCTGCCACTTTCTTTCTTGCAAACATGAGCACGGTAAACGGCTAAATGAAAGAATGATTGAAGTTCTACAATATGTAGCGCAACTTGCATCCTGTCCTGCTGGCCTGGAGCGTGAGGACGAAAATTGTTATTCGGGCCATAGGTGCCCAAACAATCCATGTCACCGACTAAATTGCCACTTCCCAAAGGAAATGCATGGGGTGGAACGAAATTTTGTAAATCTTGAAATTTGCAGGAGATTGGAGAGTGAGTTGTTGTAGCTCCAAAAAGAAGAAATCGTAAGGAAACTGTGTTTGGAAACTTCACTTCTTTTTCTTGTAATTTTCTGCTCTTGAGAAATGTTCCATAGAGCCATGATGGTAGAGACAGAGGTATAACCCCACACAGTATAAGAAGAGGAACAAAATTGAAACCTTCAATGCCCCGCTGTTATCATCTGTTCATGTGGATAACCCCATTGTAATAAGCATAAAGGCGTTGAATGATGACCGATAGTATTCGCAAGGGGATTTCCTCCGGATCCAATGAGGAGTGAGTCATTCGACTCGGCATGCACCTGTGACAGAGTTGACTGGATAACATTAATAATGAACGATGTAAAGGACATGAATCCTATGAATAAATCCATGGATATGTATGTTGGTAAAGCCGGGTCAAGCTAGTTCAATATCATTACCCCTTGTCATCATTATAAGGGAATGTAGTCCGTTTCTCATCTCGACTGTTTCAAATTCCCACCAACAGGAGGTTATTCACTTGATTTCCAATCAACCGTTGAACGGTCCGAAAAGGTTCCAAGCTCATGACTCACTAACCATGGTAAGATATCACGAGCTGAATGATAAGATCAATGGATGGACTGGAAGGATGCAGTAATGTACGCGGGGTATACGCGCCGATTGGCACAAATTTGACTTCGCTTGCCGATGGACATCTCACAGATTCACACCCGAGTTTCCAGAACCAAAATCCTTAATCAACCCCGCTGGAATCCAGGTGCGTGTGCATTTCGTAAACTGGAACTGTGGGGTTCCATCACAACCGACGTTAGCTCTGTCCCGCGCTGCGATGCTTGCTGGAAAGGCGCACATGAGCATTTCTTGAAGATAGTACAGACCCAAAAGCCAAGAGGGCAAATTAAATGTTTAGTTATGTCGCATTCATAAGTTCTGGACTCATTCGTATGTTTCCTAGATGCGTGTGTGAGAGGAAATCCTCCAGCCAACGTTGGTATAACTAACGACTCAAAAGAGTAAGGTCAAACCATAATGACGCTGGGGTAACTAAGTAAAGATGCGATGGATAACTATCTCCTGGATGCCCCAGAAGAAGATTATTGTAAGCAGGACTTTATCTCCTTGAATATCACAACTTCATGTCATAAAGATCGAATGATTATGTCGGTAGTGTAGAAGTTGGGGAACAAGGAGACATACCGGTGTTGGTTAGTTATTAGTTAAGTTAGCAGGGTTAGATAACTAACGTTAAACTGTGGTGCTTAATTCAGCCACCGAAACCCCCATGTTTACAATTCCATTTCATACTTTCTGCATTTCCTTTGTACAACAGGACGTGAGCAAGAAACGAGCAGCAAATTACGTCCTATTATTACTATTTATATTTATCACGCTATGCCATGATGTCCAAACAACGTTGGGTTGCATGTCACCGACCAATTGCAGACCATCATCTCTCAGCTCTGCCTGGGAAATGTACGGGCCACCTAATGGTGCTGATGTTACATCTTCCAAGTTCCGCCCCAGTGTCCTAACTCATGGCCCAAGGGGAACTCGATTGGCCCCCCAAGGAATTAGCAGCCGGCCGATCAACTGAACGAGAAGGTGCCAGCGATGATCGAAATGAGCAGGCAGAGTCCCTAGCCAGGGGGAAATAGCATGGTTGATCCGGAGTACATATAACATTGCTGCATCCCCTTCCGATCAGCATGGATTCTCTGTGGACAACTGTGGGTGTGGGGTGTGAAGAACATCCAGTTGTCCTCCTTGAAGAAGACCATCACCACGTCGCCTCCTCTTCGTTCATATTTGTACGGTCCATTCGTTATCTTCCTGAGTCGCTGCGGTGAGAGCTGTCAGTCGCAGAGTGTACTGCTCAATATTCCTTGTCGATAGTCGAGAACACCCTGTCTAGGCATCTCAACATGAAGGTACGGTTGTCAAAAATCGTTGTATTTCCTCCATGAAGGTTTGATTGATGGTCTGGAATGTAATGCACTAACCAAGCAGTGAACGTTATGTAGACGATTACACTCTTTTTACTTGCTGGCATTTGCAATGCGATTGTGTCCCCGCGCAAGCCGTTTCCTCCCGCTGGAGGCGGGAATAAACTTCTGACCTACAACGATACTGTAGTTAAAAGAGCAATTGCTCCTACATCTATCTCTGTGGACTGGATCTCTACCGACGAGGATGGCCAGTATGTGTTCCAGGGATCGGATTCAGCTCTCTTCATCCAGAATATCATAACCCAAACATACGAGACTCTGATTGCTGCTGATAAAGTGCCAGAGGGTGCTTATGGATATTTCGTCAAGCCTGACCTATCCGCAGTTATGTGGGCTACCAACCACACCAAGCAGTATCGGCATTCATATTTCTCAAACTACGTTATTCAGGACGTTAAGACCGGTGAATTAACTCCTTTGGCTGAAGATCAAGCCGGCGATCTGCAGTATGCTACGTGGAGCCCTGTGGGAAACGTGATTGCCTATGTCCGCGGAAGCAACTTGTTTGTCTGGAAGAACGGTACCACAACTCAAATTACTTCAGACGGGAGTGTTGACATCTTAAACGGGGTTCCCGACTGGGTTTACGAAGAAGAAATTTTTGGTAATCGATATGCCCTTTGGTTCTCACCTGACGGAAAGTCTCTTGCTTTCCTTCGATTCGATGAAACTGGAGTTCCAACTTATACCGTTCCATACTATATGAACAACCAGGAGGTGTCTCCACCCTACCCCCGGGAACTCGATATTCGGTATCCTAAGGTATCCGAAGCAAATCCTACAGTCCAATTTCATCTTTTGGATATGGATTCCCTCAAAAGCACTGTCGTTGCTACCGATGCGTTCCCTAAGGATGATCTGATCATTGGTGAAGTTGCATGGGTCACTGAGAACCACGACAAGGTGGTGTTCCGCGCCTTTAACAGAGTCCAGGATCGTTCAAAGATTGTCTTGGTAGATACAACGTCTTCAAAAACTTCAGTCGTCCGTGAGATAGATGGCTCTGATGGGTGGCTGGACAATCTATTGTCCATCACCTACGTTGGCGAGATCCAAAATCCTAAATTTAAACCTGGCAGCTCCTACTATGTAGATATCTCCGATGAGTCGGGATGGGCACATTTGTACTTATTCCCTGTGCAAGGAGGTGAACCAGTTACATTAACCTCCGGGGAATGGGAAGTCACAGCTATTCTTAGCATTGATACCAAGCGCGAACTGATCTACTACCAGTCCACCAAGCATCACCCCACAGAACGGCACCTATATTCCGTTTCCTACAGAACATTCAAAGACAAAGCCCTTGTTGATGACAATGTCGCCGGATACTGGTCCGCATCCTTCTCGTCCAAAGGTGGATATTACATCCTTTCTTACAATGGCCCCGATGTTCCCTACCAAGAGCTATTCTCGGTCGATTCACCTAAACCACTCCGGGTTATCACCAGCAATGAGGCAGTTGTCAACAAGATTAAAGAGTACAATTTGCCAAAGATTAGCTACTTCGACCTCCCCATTAAATCCGGCTACACGCTTTCTGTTATGCAACGCCTTCCAGCGAACTTTAGACCCGGAAAGAAATACCCTGTCCTCTTTATCCCATACGGTGGTCCAGGAGCTCAAGAAGTGAGCAAATCCTGGAAAGCGTTAGACTGGAAAGCCTACATTGCATCAGACCGTGAGTTAGAATACATCACCTACACCGTCGATAACCGCGGCACGGGCTTCAGAGGTCGCAAATTCCGTTCTACAGTCGCGAAGCAGCTCGGCTTCCTCGAAGCCGAGGACCAAGTAACCGCAGCCAGGGAAATCAGCAAGAAAAATTTCGTGGACAATGACCGCATTGGAATCTGGGGCTGGAGCTACGGCGGCTACCTCACATCCAAAGTTCTCGAAACGAACTCCGGCGCCTTCTCCTTCGGTATGATCACTGCGCCCGTCTCTGACTGGCGCCTCTACGACAGCATGTACACTGAACGCTACATGAAGACCTACGAGCTCAACGAGGCTGGCTACAACAGCAGTGCTCTTCGCAGGGCAGCAGGTTTTAATAATGTTGCCGGTGGCTTCCTTGTGCAGCACGGCACGGGTGATGATAATGTGCATTTCCAGCATTCGGCGGCGTTGGTTGATATACTGATGGGCGCTGGGGTGTCACCGCAGAAGATGCAGGTGCAGTGGTTTACGGATTCGGACCATAGCATTCGGTATAATGGAGGAAGCGAGTTTTTGTATAAGCAGCTAACGAAGATGTTGTATGAACAGAAGATTAGGGATGTGAAGAAGGTTGAGAAGCATCAATGGAGTCGGAAGCGGGCTGGAAGCTATAAGTGATGGGACTGATGGGTTGGGCAAGGGCTTTTATGAATGGATCCGTGGAAACGGATACATGTGTGTAAATAATTAAAGAGGGAGTGTTAAAGGGGAACTTCAGGTTCGTTGAATGCGAATGTACTCTGATGTATAGTTCATTATTATATTTTTTATATTTTTTACTCTTATTTCATTTCATTTTTCATTTTTTTTATTTTCATTTTTATTTTTTATTTTTTATTTTTTAATTTTTTGTTTTTTGGACTATCGTGTTTTTCTACATTCAAATACAGTAAAGTCTCATATGGGCATATGAACTTAAAGTAAGCCTGTTTTCAGTTACTAGTTAAACCTGCATACACACATCACAATAGTCATTCCAACAAGGGGGACGTCAAGAAAAGGGCAAAATGGAAATGAAAGATTAAACTGGGCAATGCAACCGCCCCCAAGGGATCTATAGTGGGAAATGAAAGTTCCACCATCGCTCCAAGTAAATACAGCGAAGAATAAGAAGTAGCGTGCCCCCCCAAAACCCAAACCCAAACCCAAAAACAAAAGAAATAAATAAATTAATAAAGAAGATGATAAACTCCGTGCAAGACCGTATCCACCAGTCCATTGATCTGCGTGTTTATGTATATACAACGAATATCGTCCCGTCGGTCTCTTTTAAACCAGAACTACATACTCGCCCCCGCCTTGCTCCCTGCACCCCAAAGCCCCAGCACCCCATCCTCATCCTTTCCCTCAACCGCAAACACATTCCCCCAATACTTTCTCACCCTCTCACAAATCCCCTGCTTCCCTTCCCACGACTTAAACTTCCCTCCCTGCTCACAAGCAACCCACAATATCTCCTCCCAAAACGCGCGCTCAACGTCATATCCAAAGCGTGCGATGGTATCGCGCGCCACGACCCATGCGCGCCCGTCGCTGCCATCAGGTCTATATGTGGGCTTTGTTTCGAAGGTCTCGTCGAAGACAGTTGCGGGGTTGAATTTGGGGAAATTGGCGTGGATGAAAGAGACGCGCGGCGGGTTGATGGGCTTCGCAGGCCTGCTGCTCCCGCCAAGGTTCCCTTTGCTGTTACTTTCGTTATTTTTGTGTGCGAGGGAGATTTGATGATTGCCATATTCGCTTGCAGGGTCAAATTGGACCATTGCGGAGCCTGCAATGAGCGTGCCGTTTGCTTTCTGATGTCCGATTGCTGCGACGGGTGCGCTGGTCGCGTAGAATGGTTCACCAGCTGCAGAGGCGGCTTGCAGGAAGGTTTCCTTGTCGCCTTCACCGGGCGCACCTTGTGAGAGGAGTGCGAAATAATGGGAAGGTCCATAGTAGTTGTAGTATGTGGCGAGGAGTAGAGTAGTTGGGTGTGTCTTCTTGGAGAGAAGTATCTGACCCGTTTCCGACGAGGCTCTCAATCCCATTGGAGGAATCTGTTGTTTGGATATGTTGTAGTATAATGGGGAGACACTGGAGATCCAGAAATCCGGCCAGGTAACCATTCCCGTTAGTTTGAAAGGGGGTGAGTCAAGAAGCTCTTCCGGCTTATGTAGGGGGAAGCAGTCTGCATCTATCCAGACAATTTCTTCAAAGGAGGAGAAAAGCATGGCGAAGATTTTGAGTTGGTAGTGGCCGATTTCGACCTTTGTGTTTTTGTTTCCATTGCTGTTACTGCTCGCTTGGTGTTTTTTGGAATCATTACGGTCCGGGATGGCAGAACCGAGGATATCAGATAGAACAATGCAGCGACCATTTAGTGAGGGGATGACTTCGTCGCAGATGCTGCTTTCGTACTCGTCATGGTCTTTGAGAAACAGTTCGATGGGGAGATTCGAGCCGGTTCGTCGGAGCATCCGTAGCGAAATGATGAAAACAGGTAGATATTTTCCTCCAGCTGTGTATACCGCTCCGCGACTGTTGGGAATAAAGACGGGCTTCAGATCGGGGGAAGACTTGGTCTGCTGCAGGAAGGCCGTATGTGCCTGCTGCATCTTCAGCACGTCCGCCTCTGGCATAGAAACGAGAGACGGTCGCGGGGGAGGTTCATCAGCATTGAATCCAGTGGCTGGGACTGAGCCAGCTCGTTCAGGCGAAGGGCAGTCCGGGCCATTTTTATGAAGGATCGGAAGAAAGGTTTGCCAGAACTTGATCTGGCGGGCTTGTATCGACCGGGCTTCGAAGCCAGACGGCAGCACATATACTTTGGAATACAACGACGACTTGAACAAGTTAAAGGTGAGGAAGACCAGGAGAACAAGGGAAAATGCAAACAGCGCTCTGAGAGGCCTAGCCAACATCGTGTATAAAGTAGCCACTGACGTGAAACCCCATGAATGAATGAGAGACTGGAGTCAGAAACTGGTTGTTGGTGGGGCGAGGCGGGGATAGGCTATCATTGAGCAAGGGCTGGAGGTGGCAGCAAAAGAGCCATGCCGAGGTCACGAGGTGGGGCCTGGACAGGCGATTGTAAGCTCAAGGACAGCCAGTGTTAAGATATTACGATATAACTTGTCTGTATAGACACCGAATGTCTGCATTTTTGATGCGCCAAAATCCTGCGCCGAAGCGGTGATGTTGGATATGCTACTTTCGGTTTAGCGCAACGCCCCTCTTAGTTACCATTCATTTCCCATCGTTCGTCCCGATGAACCGTTCGTTTAAACTCCGTAGTTCATATCCAACAACCAGGAACAAGCTATGGGGGATGCTGCTGTGATTCGAGGAACCGGATGGCATGATATGCTTCTGTTATTCGGTTGCAGGCACGTTGATGCTTAAATTCTCGCGTGGCGGGGAACAAGACATAAACAACCCCCGTTTGCCTCTGGTTGACTCTTATCTGTAATTTGGCTTCACATATCCCCCATCTGTACCTGATTAGACAAGCCGCCTCTAAAAACTCTGCTAAATGTTCTGCCCAGGCTTAATAAGTTAGTCCAGTCGGGAATCGTAACTACAACTAAGTCTGAATCGATTACTTGACTATCCCATGCTGCTTATAACCTCCGCGTTATGGATTCTCAATCTTTGAACTACTGCTGTGCTAGCGGGGCTTTTGCAAGAACTTCGCCCCCTGTGTCGTGCCACTTCATTTAACATCTTACTTTGAGCGGGATACTGCACGTTATCGATCCCAGTTGGCAACTCTCATGGTCAGCAGAGCCCCTGCACCGCCAGAGCCTAACTCGCCGAGGTATGGCGAGGCTGACAAGCTCGCGTAAGGAGCTGGGCGGGTTTCAGCGAACAATCCCCCCCCCAAGTCCTACTCTACGGAATTTGTTCCATCATGGTTTGGCAATACCTCCCAGTGACTGACATTGACACCCAAATATGTATACTACGTGTGCTATATGTGCTATATGTGCAAACTTTCTTCGTTGTTCGGGGATTAGTCTCGGGCTTTCTCCAGTGTTCCCGTTTTGCTGTGGTATCCACCTGGTCACCGCCGTCAGGGTGGTATGCTGCGGAAGCTAAATACAGGCATTAGCAGCAACTGATAAGTGGCAAAGTGATGTGCAGTATAGTTATATATATGTGACGTTCTTCTTGTTGCCAATCCCTTTGCTGTATATGGAGCTATATTCATACCCTTCCCTTGCTGGTTTACGCTATTTAATTAGTCTCCTGTTCTCCTCTCGCATCATACCACCAAAGGGCCGTAAACCTCCTTAACTCGCAACGATGTCGGTGGATTCTAACACCATTGATCCTGACCTCGAGGCAAACAGCGGTGAACATGCCTTTCTTAAGAACCACACTGTCCACTCTTTTGCTTGGAAGGGCGTCTCTGTCAACGTGAAGGACCATGAAACAAAGAAACCCAAGGCCATCCTTGAGAATGTGAACGGTCACGTCAGCCCAGGTTTGTACTGCAAATTAATTGTCTCAATCAATCTGTCTCCTCTAATCTGATTCATAGGAGAATTGATGGTTTTAATGGGCCCTTCGGGCAGCGGGAAAACTACTTTATTAAACGTACTCGCCCATCGCGACTCTGCTCCTGGCGCCGAGATACAAGGAGACATCCTAGTCAACGGACAGAAACTCTCGCTCGAAACTTTTCGATATATCAGTTCTTATGTTGAGCAGGAAGATGTTCTTGTGGGAGCCCTGACGGTAGAAGAGACCCTACACTTTGCCGCTCAGCTGTCCCTCCCCAGGTATGTCAGACATTGCATCCATCTTTCGAGTGGAACCAGTTCTAACCCGTCATGTGAAGCTCAATTACGAAAAAGGAGCGGTTAGAACGTATATCTAGTCTCCTTAACGCCTTCGGAATACAAAAGCAGGCAAAGACCCTGATCGGAACCCCGATTCGCAAAGGCATTAGTGGTGGCCAGAAACGTCGTGTAAGCGTGGCTAGCCAGCTGATTACCTGTCCGAAAATACTGTTTTTGGATGAACCGACCAGTGGTCTGGACTCTACGGCCAGCTTCGAAGTGATGTCTTTTGTGCAGAAACTTGCCAAGAAGAACAATGTAGGTTATGCAAAGAACGCTTGTCTTTGGGCGTTTGGCAGGAAGGGGAAGGCCATGCAAGCCGGTCCTTTTTTTTTCTAGTTTGCTGACAACCATAAAGCTTATTGTAATCGCAAGTGTTCACCAACCGTCCACAGCTACCTTCGAGACCTTTGACAAACTCCTGGTTCTATCTGCAGGCCGGACCTGCTACTTTGGACCCGGCTCGGAAATGAAACACTATCTAGACAAAAGTGGACACACGATGCCCCTACAAATGAACCCGGCAGAATTTATCCTGGATTTGGTTAATATCGACTTCGTATATGATCAAGATTCAGCGGCTTCCCAGCTTGCACAGATTCATATGAATTGGGATAATTCAGAGGAGTCCTTAAGGGTTCAAACCGAGATACAAAAGCTAGCGAATATTACGGAGAAACAACAAATACCCTCTGGATCATTGAGTCATGCGGGAGCCCTTTCGAACGTGATGACTCTGCTCCATAGATCGTTCATCAAGAGTTATCGCGATGTAATCGCATATGGAGTTCGAATAATTATGTATCTCGGTGCGTCGCAAACATTTTCCCTTCCTACAGCACCTTGTGGTTTCCACATATAGCCCTCAATTACTGATCTATTTCTAGGATTGGCGATCTTGGTGGGCACAGTCTGGCTCAGATTGGGCTCAGGTCAAGCAAATATCCAGCCTTTCATCAACTCTATTGTAAGCATATTCACTTCCGTAGCATTTCTATTTGTTGCGCACTCCTCTAAAACAAAAACAACAAACTACAGTTCTTCGCGTCCGCATTCATGTCCTTTATGGCCGTTGCTTACGTTCCCTCATTCCTCGAAGATCGAGCAACCTTCATCAAAGAAAGATCCAATGGCCTATACGGGCCTTTATCATTCGTCATCTCCAACTTCATAATTGGTATCCCATTCCTATGTATGTGACTTTACCTGCCCACTACCATTCAATCAACCCCCAGAGTTCCCACTAACCCCCAACACCACAGTCTTAATCACAATCATCTTCGCCATCGTCTCCTTCTGGCTCGTAAACTACCAAAACACAGCAACTGGCTTCTTCACCTTCGTCATGTGGTTATTCCTTGACCTGCTCGCCGCCGAATCTCTCGTCGTCCTCATTGCCTCTCTCTTCCCCAACTTTGTCATTGCCCTCGCACTCACCGCTTTCACCAATGGCCTCTGGATGTGCGTGGGCGGTTTCATGGTGTCCCCTACCGTTCTCAATGTCTTCTGGCGCTACGTTTTCCACTACATTGATTATCAGGCCTACGTATTTCAAGGCATGATGGTTAATGAGTTTGCGACGAGAACTTTTGAGTGTGGGCCCGGTTGTCAATGTATGTTTGCCAGCGAGCTGGCGTCGGAGTGTAAGATCGCTGGCATAGGGGTGCTACAGTCATTTGGGTATGCGACGGGAAGGACTGGGAAGTGGGTAGGCATTCTGCTCGCTATTACGGCGGTGTACCGGGTTTTCGGATGGGGTGCGCTGGTGTTGAGGAAGAGGTAGGATGGACATGGGTTACAGCCCATGGATGGTGCATCAGTGGGTCAGAGAGCGAGAAAGTCAGCATCCGATCCACATCAACTTAATAACCTGATCTTATCCTTGTATGTATGCATGTTCAGCCCATATGAATTTTGTATCTATTTTAATACCTCTCTTTTGCCGAAATATTATGCATGAATGGTTTCCTATAATGGCAGCCTCATTCGAGAGTCATCCATAGGAATGGAGTTACTACTGATATTATCTGAGCTTTGGTCTTCTTTGAGTCAATGTTCAATGAAGCTGCAGATGAACAAGCCCATAGATTTTCAATACACAGTGTTTATTATGTAGAATATAACAGAAACCTCTCGATTGCTCTCCTACCCGCTGCTATGTCCCAAGGAACGGCCGGTGTGTTGCATGCCGCAGGGCCAAAGAAAATCACCTCCTCAAGCTCAAGCGACCTCCACCACATGCGTGTAACCCCTAAATCACGGCCCCTCTCTTAATAGACAACTATCAATCATGGGTACACACAGGCCCTAGTAGTGAAACAGGAGAAATCCCTAAACTCCTTCCTCAATAATACTCTTCTGATATCACATTTCCCTTTCTAACTGTATTTAAATTTCCTGCCCTGGCGAGCAATCGGTACAGCTCAATTCCATCAAAATAACTACAAAACTCTGTTCTCGCTAATAATCAATTTATATCCTTCGGCTTCTTCGCGAGCCATCAATCCCCATGGTTGTGGATCCGGTGCCCGAGACATGTAGCGTCGAGCATCACTGCCACCGCTGAGTGGCGGGATCCAATGTTTATGACGGATGTAGACCCGTTTTTCATCGGGCTCCAGTGCGGGGCCAAAACCCGAGTCTTAAACATCGCCTCCTGCTTGCTTGTTGTCTTACTCCGGAATGAAAGCTTGAGTTTGAGACTTGGTAACAATCAGATAGTTTCCATATCAATATAAAACTGAATTTTATAATACTGATGTTTTTCTTTTCTCCCTTTTTGGTTAGGTCGTTTTGGCCCTTGGGTTCAGAGGTTTTCTCCTTTCTTTGCAATGGATCCATTCCGTTTCAAATCACGGTGGATCTGTGGGCGGAGATGAATTCCAAATGATGATGTCATCGGTCGGCTGCGAGAAGCCCGTCATGACTGGATTTTCGAATTTTAATTGTTGTGATAACAGGAGCACAAACTAGTGGAAGACAAAAAGTAGGAGAAGAACAAAGAAAAACAGAACAGCAGAAGGGAAGAATCTTTTTCTCTGGCAGGACAAACGTTGTGGCTTCCTGGGTGTAGTTTATGTAGGTCTGTAACCAATCCATTCCTCAAAAGAGCTTGATGATTGGTTTGCTTGTGGAGTTTGATTTGATATTGCATGGCTTGCTGCAGAAGTGCACGTCGTGAGGAGCAGATACCGCTTAATTGGAACCGGGAGATATAGGTATCTCAGCAAAATAACCGAGGAAGTAAGAAGAAAAATATACAGGTCAAATCAAACGGAAATCACTTGAGAGGTGAAACAATTTCTTTTCTCTTCTTTTCTGTTCTTTTTATGTATTTCTTTCAGCCATTACCCCCTATTTCTCATTCCTACTGAGGCCGGAATAATCAGAAACTATACTGGCATGTCAATTAATGATTATTTTTTTCTATGTTTAAAGAAATTCCCTAAATAACAAAAGTGGAAGAATATGAGGAAGAAGAAAACAGAAAAACCAACACCAAAACACTACATAGGGTCCATCCTAATATCACCCAGCCACATATCACTGCTGAGGAGCGAGTTAACATCTGGGCCTGGGTCGGCCAAGGTCTGTGCAGCCGGCAGCACACCGATCTCCAAAACCTCCCTCGCCAGCATCTTGATATGCCACATAACCTGATGCGCCAGCGCCCACGTGCGATCCAGCGCCTTGAGTTCCCCGACAATCAGCGCAATGCGGTCCCGACGCGGTTCGATGGACGTCCCGACATTGACGGAGCAGGCGCACAATTCAACGACCGCGCCAAGGACAAGGCCGCAGATAAAAAAGGGAGTATGTCTAAGGAGAGGGGAACGGATGGAGCCCAGTGCAACCATCCCATTCGCGGCCTCGAGTGCTTTGGCGGCGTGTGTGAGCGTGTGTGATGTTGGTGGGAGATACGTTCCCCGACGGGCACAGGCGATACTGGCGTTGGCAGTTGGTGAGGCCATCAGGCAAGACCTTGGAAGATGGACATATATGGAGGCACAGTGGACGAGCATGTAAGCGCGGAACAGCACCTGGTCCACAGTCCCGTCAATGCATAGGGCATTGGGTCTGTCTTCTGGGGTATGGCGGAACCAGCTACCAATGTTGGCCTCGAGAGACTCTACTTGGTCCCGCACGTTGTCTTCGAGTGTGGCACCCAGAACTATTCCCCTCCTCAATAGGTGAGTTGCTTCAACAGCGTAGCAGAAGGATGAGTATTTGGGTTGGTCTTCGGCAAAGATACGGTTGTAGAATTGAGTTACCGATGGTGGGTCAACGAGAGAGATGCCCGTTGTGTAGCTAACATCTTCGCTGGGAAGTTGAACATCCATTGTCAAATTTCCGATTTTCATGGTACAATGGTCAAAAGCACCGAACATGACATCTGTCATGTAAAGTTCCCACCATGTTCGTCGGAGACTCTCTTCACGGACAAAATTATGGCATGCAAGTGTCTCCACGAATGATTTCCTGTGCATACCCAGTTTAATGGCTAATGTTATCGCAACAGAGAATGAGGAAATTGCCTCCTCGCGGTCATTTCGCGCGTGGAGTACCGTTGCGAAGATAAGGAGAGCTTGAACTTTCTGGTAGGACCATTCCGGATCACTTTCAAGGGCTTTCGCAGCAGCCAGTTTGTATGCATCAGTAGACACTTCAAAAGCAAAATGCGCGCCAACAAATTTCATTGCCGCTTTCAAACAATATGGAAAAGGAGAAATGAAATGTAGTAAATGAGCAGGAGGCAATATGGGATGAGAGTCGTGGAAAAAGGCGTAATAAAAATCAACAAGGTATACATCGCTATCATCGGAGGATGGATCGTCATCCGAAAGAAGGTCGTTGCGACTTAAAATCCCTGGTTCTAAAATTGCTAGTGGTGACTGATCCGACGATGCTGTGGATAAATTGCCCGGAACGATCGAATTGTCCTGAGCTGCCCATTCAGGAGTCTGCACGACATTGTTGAAATCGAAGTTATTTGGCGATTGTGATTTTTGAGTTTGACTGCTGTAAGACTGGACGCCAGAGCTTCGGGGAGAACTCGTCGAAGAGGTCCTCACTCCAATAGTAGGCTTCGGGGTGGACCTGTAGCCACGGCGAGAAGGAGTGTACTCGCAAAACGAGCGAGTTTTACGACACCGGCTACACACCGGGTGTAAGCCGTCACACTTCAAATGCTTCTTCCGACAAGCACGACATGCGAGCGGGATTGGAGATGAGGTTTGCGATGATTTCCTCATTGTACTGTATATGCACTGCAGTTCCGACAAAGAAAATTGAAAACAGGTATAGAAAGATATGTACGTATTATGTGGTAAAAGAGAATGGATCTCACACAATTCAACAACAATATGTCCCTGGAAGGCATATTCTGGCTTTTACCTAGGTAGATGATGTTTTGTAAGCTGTTGAGCTGTTGAGCTGAAGCATTAACCAGGAGATATATAGTGGAATTGTGGCCAAAAATTGGCCTGGGGGGGGGCGAATCCTGCCATTCCCTCGGTATTCCAGGCAGCTTGTTCTCAATCCCAACCATCCTGAAGCTGGCTGGAAATTGTTCAGCCAAAATTCAGTCGCAAAACAATCTACTCTTTAGCTATTGTTCTCTCCGCGCTGATTTCGAAACTCCATTCATGCTCGCGATCATGTGAGAACGATCCAACGTTTCCAATGTTTGGAAATATTCCCAACCATCCATTGGACGATCTGTGGTGCGACTTTGATAGGAGAGCAACAAGCAAACATTAAGTAATTGTGGAAGCGCCATGGGCTCGTCAATTTCGTGTCCGGAAGTTTGGAGGAACATCCAATGTCTCAGACTGCATGCAAGCACTGCTCTTTTTGACCTTGGATGGCCCTTGGTGCAGCACACCGACCTCCGCGCGTCTCTCGTCTCGAGGGTGCGAAAGGCAAATGGCTAACGAAGAGATATCCGATATTTCAGATCATGGATCTTATTTCTGAGGATTTTGGAGTGCTAATGATAATTTCCCCTATGTCCTGCTCTATCCAGAGCATCATTTTGTAGATCAGGGTGGGAGGGACTCTTTAACAACAGAAGGAAATTGGGCTTAAAATGCTCAACCAATCGCGTGTCAGTTGGATTCTTTATCGGCTACCCCATGGCTTCTATCTCATGCTTCAAGGTCTCGAAGGTGCAGGGGGCGATCTCACCAACATTGGTATGAGGAGCGATTTCGCTTCCTGTTTCCATGATAGGCCCTGTGATGTAGACGAGGTCTGGCAGAAACCCGTTTTATCACCCCTTTGCTTTCGTTCCTACGAGTCGCATCAACCTCTCTCAATGCGGATTCTAGATTGCCAACAGCCTTTGATGCAAGTTTGCGATGTATTTTTTTTAAACTTATTCCCAAATGTGAGTGATTGCCAGTCCTATTGTTTGGTTTTAAATTCCTATTATTGTGTGGCCTTGGATTCCTTTTTTGGTCCCGCGATGCTTCTTACTAGAAGTTGGCTGTTCCAATCGAACTATGTTGTTACGATCCTCGATTTAAATATTCCATCCAACCATTACTCGCTTGAATGTTTCAGGCAATCTGAAGTGATTCATCCCAGAGTTACTAACAAGCAGTTAGTCGGAAACGCATTCGCTGGCGTTGCTGTATTGCTGTCTTTTTTTGATTATCTGAGGCCCTCTCCAAGCATTTTAACAATGGGAACCCATGAAAATAAATATGATCCCTCTAAAACAAATGTCCGTAGCTCAACAATCCCCCTCCAAATGGCGTCCATGGATATTCTGCGTCGGAACTGCAACTGCCGACCATCCCGAATAACAAAGATCGAACCACTGAGAGCTTCAGAGCCAGAAGCGAAAGCAGCCTTGGCACCTGCGGATATAAAATAACAACTTTCACTCACCGTTGGACCCGTGGATCGTTTCCCACTTTGCATGAGAAAGTCAACGTTCAATCCAGTCTCCGGCGGAGAGGTTCTTATTTTGTAGGGAAGGGTGTAGAGATCCCCCGACCGATATCCCTAGACAGGATTTGATGGCTATATCCTCTTCCCCGTTTCCATGACGCCTCTTCTGTTGACATCAGTCTAGAGAGAAGCTGACATGGGCCTAAAAGTCTTTCCCAGAATGGGACTCGGGCCATAGACATCCACAATATTCAATCAACGGCTCTCCGGTTTACCTAACTGGATCCAAAGTACGTATATAATGTGAACATGGCAACTGAACGGATAACCAAGAAACAGGTCCAAGGTGAGAAGAGGAGGAAAATCAGCGTGGTCTCAAAAACACTTGAGGCATTGAGGCTTTAAGATGGATGACAGCTGTCACGTAGAGCAAAGTATGAATGTTGGTTAGTTGTTGTGGAGGCGGAGCTGTTTGAATGAGGACCTTGGTATCTCCCGCAGTATGGAACAACTATATACAGAGATGAATCTCCTTCTCCTCTCTCTTATTTGACTCAGCTATCAAATTTCATCATACGATCGCTCATTTCTTCGCTATTCTCCGCCCGGGACGTCCTTCTATATTGTCAAGTTCAACTCACCAGTCCACATCAATCTCATCCCTACAAACTGCTATGACATAGTCAGAAGAGAGCTTCCATCAACACCCTGTGGACAATCACGACCCAGCGCGATGATTCAGAAGGTTTGAAAGATATAAAGACCCGAATAGTTGAGGTATAAGGCCGTTAAATTAGGGTCCGCAAAGTGCCTAAAATTTCCCAGCTGATGCATCGGTCTCAAAGCTCACGCCCCATGCTGAAGCAAACGACAAATGTCAATTTCTCATAATTCAAGAACATCGGCGAAATCGTGCTCGCTCTCCCGAGCTGGCTTGGTTGGCTGAGGATTTGATAAGCATGATCACTGTCATTTGGCGATGTCTGGCGGAAAAAAAAAAAAAAAGAAAAAAGAAATCTTTCAGGACAAAAAGCAACGAGTTCATATGCAGGAGCTGAAATATTTTCTGAAAACTTTCGACTGTCGCGAGCTTGGGACCGGGGGTATTTGGAATTCCCTCCCGTGAAACGGCCCAAACGCTTTAGTGCAACCTCACATTGGACACTTTCACGCATATTTTTAGCTTCGACCTACTTTGATTGACATGAACAGGGAAGAATTGGCGACGTCAACTGGTAGGGATCGACTGAAAATAGGTGTCTGGCAAGAAGTTAACTCCCCCATGAACTGCTTGATAGCTGTTTCTCGTTGCAACACGGAGGTCGTGTGGGGAAAAGAAATACGACTTAGACTGGGAGATATTACCGAAGAAAATGAAGAGCTTACGGTCCCCTTCTTGCCAAATCTTTGTGTGAACCAGCTCTGCGTCAGGTTGACAAATCTATGCTAATTTCACTTGCTAATGGACGCACAGATGAACAATTGCCGAAACCGCAGGAAAGGATCAAGTAACACACATGGAGTTTCTGGGTAGATGTAATAGGCTATTCTGAGATGGATTTTACATCAAGCAGCTATGCAGACGTCATCGGGGTCTTCTCAGCTCCGAGGTAATTGTCATCCTCATTGTCATTTAGACGTTATTCCTTAAGCATGGGAGTGGATGGTGGGGAACTCAAATCCTGCAGGGGTGCGATGAAGGCTTTTGGTTCTGAGAGGCACAACATAATCAACGACACGAATATATATAACAGCCGGCATTGCTCTGCCCTGACTATCGAACTCACTTTTCAGCGTAGCAAGTACAACTAGTTGACTAATTGATTGAACTTCCCACCGTTCACATTCCAAACTCTCTCTACGTTATCCATACCTACCGAATAACCTTCCTCAATACGAGCAATTTTGATAAAACCCTCCAAAATGACCACCGTTAAAGGACACTGCCACTGTGGCCAGACAGAGTTCACTGTTAAGATGGAGTCTCTCAGTCATATTCTCTGGTGCTATTCTTGTCTCCTCCGTTTTTGAATCATTCTCCACCCGGTGTCTAGATATCCGGTACATTAAGCTAACTAACTGAACACTCTCTATTATTCAGCCACTGCGATGCTTGCAAAGTGATTAACGGCAGTGATTATACCCTAAACCAGATTGTCCCCAAGGAGAATTTTGAACTCACAAAGGGCAACTTGGGCTCATATACATATGCCGGCGATTCGGGTATGTCCCTCTCATTCCTACCCAACCATGTCTATATTCCCCTTGCCACACACATACATTCCGTCCCGCCCTTGCCCCCTCCCCCCCACCCCTTACCCCTATTAAATATTCTTCCCTCTTGGATATACAATGCAGATACACAAACCATAAGATTTTAACCTGCTCATCAACGCATCATACACAGGAAACCCCGTACACTGCTTCTTCTGCCCCAATTGCACAACCCACATCTACCATCACCAGACCGTTGCCGGACCTAAATACGTCATCCGAACCGCCTCATTGGAAGGTGCCAAGGAGTGGCAAGTGGCTGCAGAGATCTATGCGATGAATAACATCAAATGGCAACCTACTATTGCTGAGGCTGATCATGTCTTCCAGCTGACTCCGCCATCGTAAACTACGAATCTGGCCCGAGTTGATATTCAAGGTGTGGCAAAAGGAGACGGAAAGGAGGCCGGGAGAGGTGCATGGGAATTTAATGTTATGAAATTAGGAAATATGGTGAACTTTTCATTTTTGAATCTTCTTTTTCTTCCCTAAACAGTTTGCAATGCATGAGAATGGTCTCAAGTTGACCACAAAATGAACAGAGAATGGGTGGGGTATTTCATGAATTTCTCTCTGCAACTCTGCTGCCCCGTCTGCATGTAATGATACAACAATTGTCTGAAATCTAATTGAGAAGAACATTTCAACACAGGGAGAGTTGATATCATCCCACAAAAGTATCTCTAAACATCTTATATAGGTGAACGAAAGACCCCACAAATATCTCAATCATCCCCAAGCGGTAGCCGGCATATTGTAGTATTCAAACTCCTGCTTCAAAAAATACCCCAGGGGGCATTCGGCATCAAACGAACATCGACCACTTCCCTCTCCTCAAAACATAGACCAATAGATCCCGTTATTCCCCTTTTCTTCCCCAAAAACCAAACCCCTCTATCCCGAACTAACAGGCGGAATAATCGCCACCTCCTCCCCAGGGCCTATTATCCGAACATCTCTAGCATCCTTCCTTTCCTTGCCATCCACATTTACCACATCAGCATCAACATCGACATATTCTAACCCAACACTAACCGCACAGCTAACCAGCACTTTCTCTTTAATACCCGGGTATCGTGACTCGAGGAGATCGAAGAGTTTGGAGAGTGGGAGGGGGGCGGGAAGGGTTTCTGTTTGCTTTTTTGTGTACGAGGAGGCCGTGGCGAAGTAGTGGATTTGGAAGGTTGGGGGAGTCATTGTTCAGGAGACAGTTTTACCTAGAGAAGTAACGGATGGGGATATAGTATATATATACATAAAATATCGAAGGTTGGGATAAAGAGATGGCTACGATAGAGAAGTCGAAGAGGCTTATGGAAGAAGGAGTAGACTCGTATTGTAAATTTCCACGGGAAATTCAAACCTCCAACTCGTCCTCTCCACCGGCTACCTCCAGAGAAACAAAAGGATCCCCCCTCTCTTTCAGGCCTGTTTCCTGTCGGATCCTGGTGTCTGACTCTCCGCTGATGGTTCTAGATGGTACACCCTTTCCGCTGTTCAGCAATGCCACCGATGAAAACTTAAGGCGCCAAGACGAGTTTATGCTTTCAAGTAAATGTAAGAGAAGAGAAAGGCGGTTAGTTAGGCATGGACTAGCAAGTTTGGACCAATTCTAGCAAGCTCTTGAAGGATTTCGAAGTTGGACCAGATATTTTCCGGTTGGTTGGCTCACGGTGGGACTGGTATCCGATACGTGGGGAGTTCTAATCTTATCGGCCCGCGTGTTGTTGGGGTAAACTCAGAGTTCGGTGTTCAAACGGGTGCCTCGCCAAGGCGCTAGACTAGATAGGGACACTGGAAGCTTTCAGCAAATTACTTAACTAAAGCGTAACTATAACTAGTTAGTTAGTTAGTTAGGCCCGAAATGCTATTAGTAACTAGTAAAAGCTTAAAGGACATTCGCCTGAATTTCCAAGACTCTTCTTTGACTAATCATTAGCTTGTGTAATAGCAGTCAGTTCCTTATCAAACGAAAAGGACGAATTCATTAGAAGGGGAAAATAAAAGGAGGATGAAAGCTAGGAAGGTGGGCGAAGAGGTTCATACAGATCAAACCCGGGTGTAAGCAGTTTTGGTTACGAAAGGTCAGGTGTTTAGCCTATTACATCATCCTCTCCCCTTCGGAGGTGTGGGATGGTTGAACCTTCTATTCGGAGGAGCTAGCTAGGTTATTGCTATATTACATACAAGCGATCACGTGTGGGCGGGGCGGTCGTTAGGGCAACGCCACCCAGGCGGGCGCCGCTACAGTTACATGTGGGGCGCCATCACGTGATCACGTGATGGAGATAAACCTAGGCCCCCCTGGCGCTGAGCCCCGGCGCTGAGCCCCGGCGCTGAGCCTAACAGATAAGAGAAGAAAAAAGATATATATAATACTACAATATTATAATTTAGATAGAATTTATCAAATTTAACTGTAACATAATTATTATATTTATTTAGAATTAGTAGTTTTTTTCTATCAATCATATGAGTTTTAGTAGATCTGTTGAATATTTTTTATAGTTATATTAAATCAAGCTTATCTGTGATTTAATTTTTTTCACTATTACTAATTATTCAGTTGTTATAATTATTACTTATATTATGAGAATTGATGATGCTTGCTCTTGAGTATAATCATGAGAGATAAAGCTTAGTCTATAGTATTAACTGCTTTAATCACAGTTGCTCATTCATTATTTTTTAACTGTATGAGAGTATGATATCAAAACTTCTTATACTAGCTTCTTTATTCTCACACTACTTATTAAAATACTTTAGAAATAGTATCTTCTAGAGAATTAATATCTTCTAAAATATTAATATTATTTCAAAATTCAATATTTTAAAATTAATATTCAGAATCAACAGTTATTAAAAATTAGTACTTTAAAATTAATAATTTTTCAAAAATAAAATTAGTACTTTATGAAGAATTAAATTACGTATATTATTAATTTCTCATTTTATAAAAGATTATAGATGAAATTTATTACTATTTATTCATATATATAACATTTTAAATTTCTGAAATTTTTAAAAAAAAAATTTAATAATTAACTATTATTCATTTTTATATATATATATTTATTCATTATTATTCTATTTTCTTTATAGTGTTTATAATATCTGTACTTCTACTCTATTGTAATACTAACTATAGTACTTCTAATACTTTCTTTTAATATTTAATATATTTATTTTAAGTATTTTTATAGAAAGATAATTTATTATCTTTTTCAGCTCTAGTAATAACTCTAATTATTAAGATAATTTTTATCATAAATTTAATTTCATCAAAGTTGTAAATATTTTTTTATATAATTTTATACTTTTTTATTCTATAATTTATCAAGATAAATCATTTATATAGAATTTTTAAATTCTCACACTGAGCTTACTAATAGTTATATTTATATAAGAATTTTATCTTTAATTCAGTATATCATTATATAAATTTATTAATTTAATATTTTTCTATAATAGTAAAAGTACTAAATTTATTTTTAAATAATAGATTAATTATTTTTTATATAGTCTTAATTTAAAAAGACTATCTTCTCTCATTTATAAAAATTATTCATTAAACTAATGAATTTTTTTCTATAAATATTAGTTTTTAATTTTTTTTTAAATTAAGTATTTATATATATAATATAATTATATAGTCTATAGATCAGAGAGAAATAAAAATATATATATAACTTAGAAATAACTCTAATAGTTGTAATTTTATTATACTTTATAAGCTTTAATAATTAATAAAGTTTAACTATTTGATTAGAAGTCTTTTTAATAAAAGTAATTAATATTTTGAATTTTTTAATAGAGTATGAATAATTTAAATAAAAGTAATCTAGTAGATAATATAATATAGCAGATAATTGATTACTTTAGTAATAATATATAAAGTATTTATTTAATATCAATTATATATTAAAAGTTATTTTAAAAAATTAAAAACTGAGCTTATATAAAAATTAATTATTATATAAAATAAATATTTACAACTAATTACAGAGATATATAAAGATAAAGTTTTATCTTCATATTGATAATATAAATTTATATTCTCTTAATTAATATTTATCTGAATAAAAAAATAATAAAAATAGTAGAAAAAATAAAAAATCTAAAATATCAGATAAAATTAAACAAGTATATAAAATATCAAACCTTTAATTTAGATGCAAATAAAATAGATATTTAATTGATAGCTAAATAAACTATTTAAATAAAATACTAAGATAATTTTTAAAAGATGAATTTGAGAAAAACTATATTTATATAACTTTTTTTTTTAGTATTATTATCTCTTTTTTTAGTGCTATTGCTAGATAATTTTCATGTTTTCAGATTATTTATATACAGAGTAATTGTGAAATTAATTGCTATGTTAATATCTAAATAGTTATAATTATTAATCATATTAATTTATAACTATATACCGTTGAAAAAACTAAATAGTATTAAAACTTTAATCAAGATACAGATAAAATAGATGTTTGATTATTAGCTAGATAAGCTATTTAAATAAATACTAAAATGATTTCTAAGAAATAAGTTTAAAAAAAAAAACTCTGTTTATATAGCTTTGTTTCTTGGCATTTTTTGTTAAACAATTTCTACATTTACATATTATTCATATACAGAGTAATTGTGAGATTGATTGCTATACTAATATTGAGATAGTTATAATTTCT